GACATAGGTATAGGAAAGGACTTTCTAAACAGAACCTCAATTGCACAAGAAAGAGCGGCAAGAATCAACAAAGGGGACTGCATCAGACTAAAAGCTTGTGCACAGCAAAAGAATCAGTTAGTAAAGAGAGCACCCACAGAATGGGAAAAAGTTTTTGCCAGCCACCCCACAGACACAGAATTAATATCTAGAATATATAAAAAACTAAAAAAAGATTAGACCACCTAAAATTAAAGACCCAGTCAAGAAACGGGCAAGTGAGATGAACAGATGCTTCTCAGAGGAAGAAACCAAGGGGCCAACAGACGTATGGAGTAGTGTTCAACGTCTCTGACCATCCGAGAATGCAGGTAAGACCATGCCAAGATCCCCTCTCACTCCAGAGAGAATGGCCATCACTAGGAGATCAAACAGTAACAACTGCTGGCATGGCTGTGGGGAAAAAGAAACCCTCCTGCATTGCTGGTGGGAGTGCAAACCAGTACAATCATTACGGAGATTTCTCAAAGAACTGAAATTAGAAACTCAGTATTACAAAGTAGAAATTCCAGCATCCCCTTCTAAGTATCTTCCCCACAGAGCTTAAGACATCATACTACAGGGATCCATGCATAGCAATGCTTATAGCAGCATAACTCATAATAGCGAAGTCCTGGAAGCAGCCTGCATACCATTCACAGGTGACTGAACAAACAAACTGTGGTATCTATATATAGTGGAATATTACCTGGCTATAAAGATGAACAAATTGAAATATCTGTAGGAAAATGGATGCACCTATAAAATGTAATGTTGAGTGAAAGAAATCACAAACTTCAATGGTGTCTCTCATCGGATTAGGCAAAGTACAAACTAAGAGATACGTGAAGGAAGGACAAAGGAGACAAGGGGATGGGTCTCTTGCAGATGGGCAGGGGTCCAGGAGACCAAGGGCGAGGGGCGGGTGGAGGGGAAGCAGGCAGAGTGAAGATGCACCAGGCACAAGGCCTCATAACCTCAGTGAGTGTGGACGCTGTGCACCATAAACACGACCTGAGATTAATAACATCAGCAAGAATGTAAAGGGGGAGGGGAGCTAGAGGAGGAGGGAGGGCACGGAGGAGAGGCGACTGAAATAAAGAAAGAAGCTGTGGTGTGCACATGTCCTGACTCCCCAAGATGGCTGTGCAATGCAGGTCCTGCAAACATGCACTAATAAAACTTTCAAATGACACATGTAAGACTATATTAGTGTCATAATAAATACTACATTGTAGCATTATGTTAAGAGAAGGCAGAAGGATAGCAACCATTAGGTTAAATAATTAGCTTTCTTCACAGAAGTGCAGGCAAGGATAGACGGATGGGATGACATCAGTTCTGCACAGCAAGGGAACAAGCACGCGGGGGTGACCCACGACGGGAAGTGTCCACAAGCCCCCGTGCACAGGGGCACAGGGAGCCCAGTGCGACCGCAAGGAGACAAAACACCCAGCACAAGAGCAGGAAGGGACCCCAAAGGCACTCAAAAGAAAGCAACAGCCGGGCGTGGTGGCGCATGCCTGTAATCCCAGCATGTGGGAGGCTGAGGCAGGAGGGTCGTTGCGAGTTCGAGACTAGCCTGGGCTACAAAGTGAGCTCAAGGCCAGCCTGAACTGCACAGCAAGACCCGTCTCAAAAAAAAGACAAAAAAAAAAAAAAAGAAAGCCACAGACAGCGAACAGCATACTTTTAAAAATGACTAGTAACTCTAAATGAAAATGAAAACCACAGTGAGGCACCAAAATTTCACACCTGTCAGGACGGCTTTCATCAAATGATGAAAGATGTGAGTAAGGATGCAGAGAACGAGGTGGGTGAAATACACAGGGAATGTTTCAATCTTAAACATGTATTCTAGTGAAAGATACGTTAAGTGAATTCCCTCAAAGCCACAAAGTGACTGCCGCTGCCTAGCGCCATCCAGCGGAAAGGCAGCTCGTAGGATGCTGTGTCCTCATCTGCCTTATTCACCAGATCTGGCACCGTGAGACTCTGGTTCTTCCCAAAGTCAAAATGACTGGGAAAGGGAAATCCACTGTCTTTAGTGGATTCAGGGCATCCAGGCAGCCACAGAAGTGCAACTACAGACACTCAGGAAAGAGGACTGCAGAACAGCTGCAGAAGTGGCAAGGAGCACGGGAGGAGCGTGTCTGAAGTGAGAGGGCAGATTTGGAGAGGATCCATGGCAATGTGTCTTTCACTGTAACAATTTTTTTTTTAAAGGAAGGAGAGGTTTACTCAGCTCACAGTTGGTGGAGGTTCCAGTCCATAATCAGCTGGCTCCACGGCAGGGTGGCTTGGCAGAAGACAGCAAAAGCAGCAAGGGCAAGAGGACGGAGGAGAGCAACAATTTTGTCTATAAGCATTCTCTGTGTTTCCCTATCACACCGTGTGCACTGTTGGCGATGACGGAAGTGAGCACAGCCCTTCTGGAAAACTACAGAAATTTCTCCAAGAACTAACTGGAATTGCTCCACCATGCAGATACCCCACTCCTGGGAGGGCAGCCAGCAACGTGCAGCCAGTCTGTTGACATCTGTGCCAACAGTCTGCCACAGCCGGGTGGTGGCCACAGCAGAGGAGCAGATGAGAGACGTGCACAGGTGCATCGCAGGACCCTCCGTGGCCTCCACGGGAAGTAGGGTGTGCACTGGGACAGCCGACCTGACCGCCCAGGGAGAGGGGCTGGACAGCAGGGGCCGTGCGCTCCCACTGTGCACAGGGCTCGGTCGGGCCCAGGGGCGCGGGCGCAGCCAGCGGTGCTCGCAGGGCCAGGACGGCGGGAGGGGGCACGGTGGCCAGGGCGAGTGCCGGGGTGAGGAACGTAGTCATGCTCAGTGCTGCGCTGCACAGCCTGTGGACACGGTTAATGATGTCCTACGGTACGTTTCACAGCCCCGAGCGAGCAAGCGGCCACAAAAATGTAAGTGTGTGAGGTGACAGACAGGGTACCCAGCTTGACTTAATCACTACTTTCTTCCTGCTCTCTTTTGTTTTGCAGTACTGGGGACTGACCCCAGGGCTTTGCACTGAGCTACATTCCCAGGTCTTTTGTATCTTTTATTCCTGACAGGGTCTCACTAAGTTGCTCAGTGGCCCAGGCTGGGCTCAAACTTGTGATGCTCTGGCCTCAGGCTTGTAGAGTGCTGCGATGACCGGCACGCGCCACCACGCCTGGTCCATTATTACACTTTACATTCATGAGTCAGATCACTATGTACCTCATACATGTATGTAAGTGTCAATCAGAAAAAGGCTATAATAGATACTTTCAGACAAAAGAATAAAAAGTAACCTTTCTTCATTTTAGAATGGGGATGCTTGGGATTAGATTTGGGGCCTTGCCCACACCAGGCAAGGGCTCTGTCAGTGAGACACACACCTGTGCTCTTAGCTTTAATATGTGGCTACTGTCCTGTATATTTCTACTCTTATAAGAAGTTACACAGATGGCCAGGGACTTTGAAAAGATGCTCTGCACGATGTCACCAGGGAAATGCGCAGTGGACCAATGAGACACAGCCATATACTTGGGCAACACCCAGCTCAGGTCACCGTGTGCTGGTCGTGCGGGAAGGCTTGCTCGGACCTGTGCGATGCAAGGTAGTCGCCAACTTCAGAGACTGGGAACTGGTCACAACACCAACCACACAGCGCCCACAGGACCCGGCCGGCACTTCACAGTACTCACCCGAAGGTGCTGAGCTTTCACGCACACGAAAGCCTGCACGTGGGCGTGCACAGCTGCTGCAGTCACGGCTACCAACTCCTAGACATAACCACGACATCCAGCCTTCGCGGGCCAGTGCTGTCTCCCCCACGACACGCTTGGGTGGGGCTGCCGAGGGGGAGGAGGGCACGTGGAGGGGCGGGGCTTGGACAGCCACTGCTACTTTCCTCTTCATCTTCATGCGAGCTCAAAACTGTCCTCTCCCGAACAGCAAAATGTCCCCAGAATACAGTTACAGGGTCTCCCTCACTGTACCTGCCCCGGTGGCATGTGCAGAGAGCGACACTCAGGGGATCTGCCTGGGGTCTGCCCTGGCAAGCAAGTCAAACCACACCCAGGAGACTTTGATCAAAGAACAGGCATTAAATTCATGTAACCATTTGCCATCGAAAGAGGAAGGGAGAGGTAACACAGCTATGTCTTGTTGCCGGGCCGCTCTGAACTTCCGGTGGTACCTCCGTGACTGTCTCCTCGGTGGCACGGGACGGTCACATGTACCACCGATGGCGAGGCTGGCGGCAATGTGTTAAACACTCACTGAATCTTCCAGTCTCCCCCGGCCTCCAGGTCCGTCAGCCCCAGGCACTGGCATGAGGTCCGTGAGCCAGGCCCTCTCGGCCTGGGACTCCCACCTGTTCCGGGCTGCACCTGGGTAACAGGGCAGGCAGGACCTCTGGGTCTCCCAGCCTCCCACCCTGGAGGGTGGGGCACATCCCCTTTTCCTTCTTCATACACTGACTTCCCCCGGAAGCGTCTGTTCAAGTAAGAACCCATTACCATAACTAGAAAAGCACCAAATGCTCTCCTGGCTCTCCTAGTGCTAATAACCATGGTGAAACGATGACTCTCCTAACCGCTGACTGTTTATTTCAGACAGGTCTTGCTATACTACACAGGCCGACCTTGAATTTGTGTGCTCCAGCAATCCCCCTGCCTCAACCTACCAAGTTGCTGGGACCACAGGTGCACCCACGACCCAGCAGCTCTAAACATTTTTCACTTCATTTTTTGAGATGGAGTCTAGCTGTGTAAAGTTACTTAAGCTGGTCTTGAGCTCTTGGGCTCGAGTGATCCTCCTGCCTCAGCTTCCCAAAAAGCTCTGACCACCAGCACACGCCCCTGAATCCAGCTTTGCCGAGTGTTTTAAGAGTCACTTACTCATCGAAACACATACAGTACACACAGAAAAAGAGTCAGTGGGCGTGCGAGCCCGATGGTGTCTGCGACACGGAAAGGAGCGACGCCTCACCTCGTGTAAATGCCGTCCACGATGCCGATGGTCGCCTCCTCCGCAGGGACGTAGGAGCCCACCTGGGCCATGAGGGTGATCAGGGCCACCTGCTTGATGTAGGAGCTCTTCCCACCCATGTTGGGGCCAGTGATGATCATGACTCTCTCCGAGTCCCCCTGGAAGTGGAAAGCAAGGTCACACATGGAGTTGGGAGGGCTGATGGAACCCGTACACCGCATCCCAAAGGTGAGGATCCACAGGCAGAGCTCCGCTTTGCGGCAAGGCCTGGCCGTCAGCTGCGGAGCCGCAGCCCTCGAGGCTGAGGGTGGACAAGAAGGAGGTCTGCGAGCCAGGCTCAGGCTCACGCGGCTCCGGCACAGGCCTGGCGGTGGATGCCATGCCACACCGGGGCAGGTCGGCCTCCTCACAGCTCCTTGGAACGGAGCAGTCCCCGCCAGGGCGGCTGTGGGGAGCCCAGGGCCCCGTGCGAACTCTGCCCAAGCTGACCCCCGGTGACCTCGGCGACTTTGGGGACAGCCCACCTGGCAGCCACGGCGGTCAGAGTGAGCCTCGCAGGGAGGGCCTCTCTGTCCCGGCCTGCCCTGTGCTGTCACAGAGCGGATTCGCAGACACAGCCCCGCAGTGTGCGGGAAGGACCCAGGCTGAAGGCGTGTGCTTTCCGTGAACCGTCCTCAGACCTGTGCGCGCGCCAGCTTCAGACTCCCTGCGTTTAAACCTGTCCACCTCACAACACTAGCACCACACACTTGCCTGCCCGATGTCGGGATGGAAGCACCTGAAATTTTCGGTCAGAAGTGGATGGCGCCAAATTTTAGACATCACAAATTTGGCATTTAATTACTCACTGGCACTTTACCAGAGCATGTGCAAGAGACAGAAGAGCTGTAGCTCTTAGGCTGCTTGAGTTCTCTAGAACCTTCTGTTTCGGTGATTACAGCAAATGCCGAGAGCCCAAGGCCCTCTTGTGCCAGGCGACCCCAACCCTGGCAATGCCGGCCCGGCGGGTGCAAGCAGCCACCATCAAAGTCAACTGTTCTCCTAGATTTTAGCCCAAAACAATTAAAAATAAAAATTGTTTAATTATATAACTTATCACAGAATCAAGAGAAATTAAATAGGAAACCTAACAAAATGAGTTTAGGAAACCTAACAAAATGAGTAAAACCTGCACACAGAAAGTTCTAAAACATTATGGGGGGAAAGAAGACCGAATTAGATGAAGGACTGAACCCTGTCATGAAGTGGTGCTCGATCCCGAAACACGACAGTGCTTCCCGTGCTGCCGTCCAGCTCAGGGCGTGCAGTTACCCAGGACCAGAGGCAGGCTGACGGGCAAGCACAGCTCCTCGGTTTCTCATAAAGGTGATGCTGTGGCTCAGAGGCGGAAAGTCACCCTTCAAAGCGGTGCTGGCTCAAGGGACATCCACACAGAACATAAGAAATCTCGCAGCACACACAAAAATCGAGTTAGGTAGATTATAGGTTTGAAACACTGGAAAACAGTAAGGCCACCGGATTGCAGCATATGACCTTGGGGCGGGGCGATGCTTCTTACACATCTCAAGCCAGAGGAGGAGGAGACTGAAAAACTGGACTGTGTTACATAGAAGTTCTACTCTCTCTCTCTCTCTTTTCTTTTTCTTTTTTCTTTTTGGTCTTTTTGAGACAGGGTCTCACTATGCAGTTCAGACTGGTATTAAACTAACTTTGTAGCCTAGGCTGGCCTCAAACTCGTAACAATCCTGCCTCAGCCTCCCAAGTGCTAGGATTACAGGCACGCACCACCACGCCCAGCTAAATTCTATTCTCTAAAAAACGGCATGAAATTCAGGACATATGCATTGCATGTTTTCCAATGACTGACCTCCAATATTCACAAATCAAAGAAACAAACCTAAAAGAACACAATAAAAGGAGACATGCAGTGGTCAGCAAAGATGTGAGAAGGGCCCAGCTTCGGACAGTGATGCGACACGTCGTCTCACACGTGTGAGGACAGCTGGCACGGTTTGACTTTTTTTTTTTTAAGCAAAACCTGTCAATATTAAGCACTGGCAAAAACCAGAAAGGAAGTGGAATTCTCATGCTACTGTTGGGGAAGTAAACTGTTCAGCATTTTGAAAAATGTTACCTTATCCACTAAAGCTGAAAATAGACCCAGTGGAACAATGCCACTCCCACGCCTGAGCCAGGATCCTGCACAGGATACAAAATGCAAGGTGCACAAGGCTGTTCCAGCAGTCATCTCCATCACAGCCGCGCACTGCAAATGACTCAAGTGTTTACCAACAGTGGGACAGATAAATTGTGATGTATTCACAGGAAGAATTCTACGCGGCAAAGGAAATAAACTACCAGCAAAAGTGTGGATGAAAGCCACAGCAGTATTGGATGGAAGAAGCCAGTCACAGAGAGGGTATGTGTGTGTTTCTACTTATATACAGCTCAAAAGCAGACAAAACGATGGCAAAAGAAGTTGAGACAACACATTTCTGTCCTCTGTTCTTCTGGACCCGGGTGCCAATCAAGGATTGGGTGCAGTCATTTCTGCTTTTTGGAAATCACTAAGCCATACGCTGATGATCTGTGCGTATTTCTTTACACGGACTTCAATAGAGATTATTTTAAAAAGCAAACGAGCACATTCTCACAAATTAACAAGCAGTACAACTCAGAAGCTAATTTTGAACATTATTTGATACAGAAAAAAACATAAGAAAAGAGGCCATCCAATCTGGAAGAAGCTAAGCCGAGCGGGAGGCCTTCCCATGAAGCTACAGTAAAGCACAGTGTGGTGTAGCCTCAGAGAAACGCAAACAGCAGCTCAGAAAGCCCAGAAGAAAGGCTATACGAACCTTGCCCTGTGTCACAGACAGGGTCACTCGTTGGCCGAAGGAGACACCGTATGCATGGGGCAAAGGCAGGCAAACTGGGGACCCCACAAAAAGAGAGTGGGCCCAATCTCATGCAAGGCTCCTCAAACCGGATGTGTGAGAGCTAAATGAGAAAAGCAAAGCTCAAACTTTTAGAAGAAAGTACTGGAAAACAGTTTAAGGACATCACTTTAGATAACGAAGACTTTACCAAGGAAAACAGAAAAACAAAGCACTTCTGCTCCCAGGTGTATGTGAAGCACGGAAAGGATTTTCTGCTGCAGCAGTTTTCTCCACAGCATGGCAGGGCCACGACGATGCAGTCACACCAGGGATCGAACGTGACAGACAAACGGGAAGCACGAAAATCATAAAGGAAAAGCCGTGCTGGAAACCACCAGAGACAACGCGGAAAGACAGATAAGCCAGTAGCATCTACACTATATTAAGTAACTCCTACCTATCAAAAACAGAAAACAACAGAAAAATGGGTAAAGGATGGGAAGAAGGTATTTTAAAGAAAGGAACCCAGGAGGCCAGAAAGCCTGTCACTGATCTGGGCAAGGAAAATAGGATCAGCAGGTCTGTTTAAGGACGCCCCGCAGCTCCTCCTGACGATCTCCTGGGAGAGCACTAAGTAAGGCCCAATGAGCAGACTGGGTCCCCGGAGAGACACCAGCACGCGCAAATTTACTGTGCGCTACCACAGAGGCAAGAATGGAAACAACGGGCCACTCAACTGCGCGAGGGTGAAGAGAGGGTGGACCAGGTACGCCGTGGGACAGCACCGCAGAAGAGAGCATGAAATCCACCACCTGGGGGCCGCAGGAATGGAACTGGAGACCAGCCGGGCTCAGAAGCCAAAGATGGCACGGCAGGAACAAGGCAGTGGGACAGGGATCCAGATGTGGAGGCAGAAAAAGAATGAAGGTGTGCTCTGTCCATGCGCCCACCCACCACGTGGCCACCCCGCAGCCTGTGATCCTTAATCTGCAAACCACGCTGTAATAGTTAAAATTAGTCAATCAATCAACCCTGCACCCTAGGGGAGAGTGCTCTTGCAGGTGAGTAGGGTGAAGGGTCGCAGGCTGGGGCAGCGCAGGGCAGGGCAGGAGGCTGGTGTGGCTGCCACGCCACGGCCAAGAACAAGGATTCCAGGCTGCGGCTCAGCAGGCGGCTGCACGGAGGATGCGCTGTGCTGCCTCGCTAAGCCGGGGGAACGACTGCAAAGGTCTGCTCAGGCAAGGCGTCGCCATCTGAGGAGACAGACCGGTCTGCCAGGATTCAAACGCCACACAATGGACACATATGTTGAAGGATCACAGGGAACCCAGAGGTGTGCGCAGGTTTTACACTTCCATGCATCAGCTAACATGGCTTAAATTAAAAACGAAGAATAGAGAAGTCTGAGTACTCCATTATATAAAAGTACTAACTTCTAAATGGCGCATTGCTCCCGGAACGCCCAGAACGTTCTCTGAGCACCGTGCAACAGCAGAGCTCCCGCAGTGAGGGATGGGGCGCAGGAGAGCGCTGGGGGCAGGAGAGCCACGTGGTCCCAGAGCAGCGCACTGTAGGGGTGCTGCCCGCAAGCACACGGAGACCACACACACCGGACACGGCGGTTCAGGAGGTGGCGGGGGTAAGGATGCAGCAGGAACAAACCCTTCCTTCCAGCCTTCAGGGGCCTCGCTTACACCTAGGATCGGTTCTGCTTTTCCATTCAGTGCACGGCTAGCAACTAGCCATGCGCCTTTTCCCATCTGTAAGACTCAGTGGGAAGAGAACTCTCTCCCTTCTGTGAATTTTCTCAAGTTTAAAGTAAATAAGAATATATGTTACATACATAAATAATAAAATAAGAATACCTATGCTCCTCAGAGTCTAGAAATGCTTCAACTGCCTTTGTAAATCGTTACTCGTACAAACAGGAGATGTACCCAGCAGCCCCCTTGGGAGAAGTCCCTGCGGACTGCGGGCTGATGGGCTGAGACTGGGCGGCCCGCAGCCGGGGCGTGAACTCGGGTCGGCGCGCACACAAGAGCGCAGGCGCTGCGCCCCGCACCTGCAAAGGTGCAAGGTGCGAGGCGACCTGGTGGCCGCACAGGAGAACCAAGGCGATAAGTGTCACCCGCCTCTGGGGCTCCCTGGGCTGCACTGCAGTCTGCTCTTGCCATGGTCAGAGATGGGGACACTAGGATTGCTATACTCCTGTCATTTTTTTCTGTTTATTTATTTTTGAGACAAGGTCTCACTATATACTTCAGGCTGGCCTTAAACTC